GACCTCCCTGAGCCTGTGGGGAGGCCGCCCTCCCATTCTGCTTTGTGGGGGTCACGAAAGGGATTCTTCCCTCGTGTAGCCCAGCCCCGGCCCCAATGATTCCACGCAGGGCTAATGTGTGTGTTGGGCTTGAAGCCACAGTCCCAAGTTCTACTAAAAAGTAGATCCACACTTTATGGGGCATGAAGCGTATGCAAATGTGGAGGGCCTTTTTAAGAAAAAGCATACGACATTGCAAATAGAAAATTATATATAGGCCCTAGGAAGTGGGGGCCTAATGCATATAGGTTTTTTTTTCTCAACTTTCCAGTAAATCTGCCGTTAATTCCGAGGCTGAATTTTCAGTCCAAGCATAGACACATCCTTCCCCGCCTTGGCCTGGGTTAGTCTCGAAAATGAGGGGTGGGAATCTGCCTTCACGGTAGAAAACCGGACAAATGGCCCCCTGTCAACCACTTATTAATAAGGTCTCCGTCACCTCCGGAACAGTGTGACGGAGCAGTTCTGTTTTTCTCAACTTGCCAGTTTCCCCATTTTCAGAGCCTGTGAACAGGCTGTTCTCTCTGCCAGGAACATGCCCTGTTCTCCTCTCTCTCATCCCTCTAACCTCCATCAACTCACACGTCACCTCCAGAGGGGAGGTTTTCCTGCTATGCCTGCTCTCGGCCCCTACGCTTTTCCTCTGACGTAGTTAGTCCAGGTCAGGTCGTATTTTTTAATTTGTGTGATTTATCAGGAATGACTGAGCTTGCAGGTGGAGCTGTCTTATAACCCCAGCCCAGCACCGTGCCTGTCCCATCAAGGATGCTCAAGGCCGGTTTAGAGAATGAAAATGCGGAGAGGTCCCTGCCCTACTGGGCCCTTCAACCAGCCGTTGTCTGTCAAGTCATCAGGACAAGCAAACACGATTTGTGGCAGGCAGCATGGCAGGTGGTCATCAAAGAACCAGCTCCTTACAAAAAAACAAGTGTTGATGGGAGAGGCACAGTGTTTGTTATCTGTGACAAAAATAGAATCTTAAAATAGACTGTGTGTCCACAGAGGGGTTGGGGCTTTGATCTCTGATTCAAGATTAAGACGGTGAAACAGAACAACCGTTTTTCCTAACGTTAACATAAAAAACTCGCAGAAACAAAAAGAAAAAGCAAAACCCCGTGATAAAAGCAATTGTGTCAATGAGGGAAGGAGGCTGACCAGGCTTGGAGAGTTTCAATTTCACAATAGCAAAATTGAGTTTCCTGTGGAGTTTCCCATAATGATAATGTTGTTATAGCTGTAACACACATCACTGAGAAAATCTTTCACTGGGGCTTTTGCCCAAAGGTAATCATCAGGCCCACCCCTATCACCTTATCACCAGCTCAGAACAAATGAAGACAAAAGCCAGTGGAAGGTATTGAAGTTTGGTTTGTAGGATCCCAAAGTCTTCTTTGAGCTTTGGTTCCTTACGGTGAAATAAAGGCAACTCTGAAATTTAAATTTGCTTATCAAGTTCACACCTATTGTGTGTGCTCCTGGAGCCCCTGGTTTAACCGAGAGCTGAGCATTTGAATTAAGACAGGTCAGCGAGTGACCGGAGGAGTGCTGAGCAAGTCCATGAGATTATTGCTGACATAAGATAAGAAAACAAATGAAGTGAAGAAAAATGTCCCCGGCATGAGAGGAGAGAAATCCAGAGAGAATTTTCAGAAGAGAGATTGGGCTTTGAAATCAATCAGACGTGGCTTCAATGCTACCTCCGCCACTTAATAGCTCTGCGATTTGGGAAGAGGTTTATTTTTAACTAATCTGAGCTCAATTTCTTCATGCATGAAAACGGGAAATATCAAAATTGCCTCCTATGATGGGGTCAGGACACCAGAGGCAGCATGTGCAGAGAGCAGGCCTCAGCCAGGGCCCCCGGTATCATTATTTTGTGATGGGGTGGGGTTATTATTCCATAATCCCAAACCCATTTCAGCCAATAGCGTCCTAAGTTTTCAAAAGCCTCTTAGTCATGTATATTTGAAAATATTCTTATCTGCTCAAAGCAAACTCCATTTGGTGAGAACAGAAGATGAAATTCAAAAGACCAAATATTTGCTGATAGCTCAACTCAAAAGTGACTCAGATTGAACAAAATGTGCAAAAGTGTAAAAATAGGAAATGAATCCAATAAAGGAAGGAACCCTAAGCAGAACTGACTAACCACAAATATCACTTGGTCAAAAAAGGACAAGCTCTTTTTTTTTTTTTCATTATTATTCCTTATTTTGAATGAATATTATTATTCATTATTGTTACTATTTCTTTTAAAATTTTCTTGTAGTAGATCTCATTTATAACCATCTAGCAAAACCAGCCATTCATTACTTCGAACGCTGCTTTTGGAACATATATTCTTATTTACAGATTAAAGAAACCAAAGTTGGGGGAGTTTTAGTAACATGTCTAGGAGAGATTATAAAGATTTCTAAGTTCATGGTCATGTCACTAAGCCACACGGTTCTCCTTGGCACTTAATTACCAGGCTCTCCCCAGGTACCACTTAATCCTTGACAGGTCGGGACAAAACCTGATTTAAGTGAGGCTTCAGAGTTTGCACCAACAGCTCAGTGTAGCTGGTGGGCAAGGAGGTAAACAGCCCAGGGATTTCAGCTCCTGCTTGCTTGTCTATCTCCTGGAGTCATGCCCAAGCTCATGGCCTCCGGAGGAGCCAAAACAGGCCTTACTTTTTGTGTCTTTCACAGGAAATACATCCACATACAACCAGCCAATCAGACAGGGCCGGGCAGCCTGGCCTGACAGAAGGGCTACCCTGTTCTGTTGGCTACCACAGAGCACGGGTTGTGCCTGTGGGTCCCGTATGTGGGCTGGAGAGTGAGACACAGCGTTCCAGAAAGTTCTTTCTATCTAAAGCCTTGGTTTCTCTATCTGTTAGATGGGGCAGATTGGGACTGATAGGCCCAAATGCTCTTAGATGCGACAGCAAGGTGGGGAGGCTTGCCTGGGGACACACATTCAGCTGAGTGTCGGGTCTGAAACGCAGGTAACCTGCCCGCAGAGGAAACAGACCCTGCTGCCAACCACCAGTTCTTCTTGTCATAGCTGATTGCCACTGGCCTCACTATTTACTTACTAGTGTTTCTCTTTATGTCAGATCGCTTTTTTAAAAATCTTAAGTCCTATTATAAGCAATGTGAAATCATGGGTTTGGTGGACTAGTGATTTTTTTTTTTTTATCACCCCAGCAGCAGGTAAGACTCAGATGGGAAACCGGGTCTAGTCAAAGATCTGAACCGGGTTCCTGGCTGTGTATCCCTCACGAGAGCATTGAATCTGGCGACTACACCCTCACTCGCTCTT